CTCCCCAGAGAAGGAAGTGCAGGATTGTGATTGCAGCCCTCAGGCTATGTCCCCCTTTTGTCTGTTTTGTATGCTTGTTTTGCCTCCATTTTTCTTCTGTTTTGGCTGTTATTTGCTTAGGTGATTTTCATTGATTACTTTTAATACATTTCCCCCCCCCCCCTAAGGCCCCACTACAGAAACATATGTATTCTTTACTGTTGACTCCGCAAGAAAATCAAAAATATTGAGAAAAATCAAGCGACAATTTTTGTAGAAAAAAATTGTAGAAAATAGGCTTATTCAGTTTCTTCCGAAAAGGCAGATGAAAATATTGATATAACTCCCGTTTCCTTCTGTTAAATATACAGCCATGGGAGGTTTATCTCAGCTTCACACAAAGACTGCAACAGAGGGAAAAAGCTAGCATGGCTCTGTCCGAAATCCACCAACGAGCACCTTTGAAGTTTATTAATTTACATAACATTTCTTAAAAACAACAATTTGCTGGGTTGTGTGTGGGACTATCCAAGAAATAGTCCTGCTCATAACCCCCCGAAAAAAAACAACACAAGGTAGCTGTAAACGGTTAGTAAATATCACATATTTAGTTGGTTGATTGAATTCCAGATTAGGACTTTTAACTTGCACTGTTTTTCATTCCAATGCCATTTACAGATCTCCTCAGGTCTGTCTACCGCCAGCTGGCCTCATATCAGACATCTCTGGCTCCCAAAGCAAGTAACTAATGAGTGCAGACGTGCTTTTATTCACCTTTTAAAACTGGAAACCGCAACAGAGCATGCCTCTGTTGCTGATAAAGTATTTCATGCTAAATCTGTGTCCATGTACGGGCAGCAGAGTGTGGAGATTCATCTGGGATTTCAAATATCATCCATCTCCCTCTCTCTGTCTGATTGAACTTGGACCACCTTTTCCAGCTGAATTATTTTTGATGTTGTGGTAATATTTGTGTTTCCACAACTAATGAGCGGAACACAATAATACGGACTGACTGACAAAAATGATTCGGCATCAACCACTGTTGTGTTGGACATTATTGCTCCTATAATAACGTGCTACTTTTATCAGACATTTATAGCACAGTCTGCTTTCAAACTGAAGCAAAGTGTGGGCTCCAGAATTGATAGCATTTTAACAGGACAAAAGGGAAGGATAATTTCAAAGGCACAAAAGAAATCTTTACAACTCTATATGCATACCTTATTCCTTTATCTCCATAACCATCCTAATAAAGTCTTCACATGCTCTAGGTGTCAGGAGGTTATTACGATGGCTCATCGGAGGCATCTGGTTAATAACATCCAATTACGTTAAATGCAGTACAAAAAAAATTAATTTCTTTGAAAAACAAGCACGAGTTACTGAAAAAATATATATCTTTTCCTGGAATATCTGCTGTCACATGCATTTAGAAGCTGACAACAGTTAGTGCATTTTCTACAGCAGCAATGTTCTTATCACAGTTACAGTATCATCAACTCAACACATGTGTGCCTATGTGTATGTGTATGTGTCACAGCTCCCCATTGAAAGGAAGCAGATTTTAGTGATGCCATGCACCACAAAACACTCAAAGCTCTCCTCCATGCTTATCACATAAGGACGCTGTAAAATATCATGTAATGTGTCATCTGGGGATGGCTTACAAAAAAATGCTTTTATTACATTTGTTCCCCAGAGCCTACTCAACTCTGATACGTGTTTATATCATTGTAACACAAGGGGTTGTACGACACTGTCCAGTGGGTCCGCCGAGTATCAGAAATGCATCCTCAGGGATCAGAGAGGTATAAAAGAACAGAACAGAGGAAATATATTTGCCTGACTGTGAATAAGACCAAAAAAAGATTATCTTAAATCAGGTTATTTCTGAGCTACAAGTAGTTCTGTTCACAGATCACTTTTAGGGACATTTCTATTAGGAAAACACAGATGCTTGATTGCTACAATCCGTCCTGTAAAGGCTAAATGTTATATTTGGGATGTTTCAAAATCATCTGCACAACACTAGTGCACTCCAGTGGTGATGTGTGAGACTACACAATGTCCCAAAACTCACTGAAGATAGGGAGATCTGATTTATATTTAACTGTGTGCGTATATATGAAACACATCTGTCATGTTTAGTGACTATAGCAACCACACACATGTGTGATTTATTTCTTTGTTCACTTCAAGTCAGTAACGAGTTTTTATGTGTATGTATGTGTGTATGTATATATATATATATATATATATATATATATATATATATATATATATTTATGTACATGTGTATTTTTTTAAATTATTTTTATCTTTTATTATTTTATTTCATTCATTTCCTAGTTTATTTGTAACGTATCCAACAGTCTCACTGAGATTTCTGTTGTTATTATTGTCTTGCTTTTGCTGCTTTGACTGTCAAAGCACTTTGTGAACTCTGTTTTTAAAGGTGCTATATAAATAAAGTTATTATTATTATTATTTATTGTTAGTGTAACTAAGTTGTCAAATAACAAAAGAAACAAGAGAAAGGTGTTCTAAGAAAATCCTTTTTTCAAGTTTTTTTCAAGTTTTTTTGTTTTAGGTCAACATGACTACTTTGTTTGACTGATTTATAACTAATGCACATTTCTATCACTTTGACCAGATAGTTCATTATGTCAGAATTTCTAAACGTTGCACGTCTGTCAGTAAAGTGTCTCAAATAGAGCTTTTTCAAAGCGGACCTTTTTACCTAAGCACAGGTCTAACTTATTATGCTTAATTGGATCTTTAGAATAAATCCAATAGTCTTTAACCCTCCTGTTATGTTGAGGGTCAAATTGACCCGTTTCAAAGTTTGAAAATCTAGAAAAAACATTTGAAAGTACTTTTTTTGTATGAAACTTCTTCTGCTTGCCTTAATTAGTGTAATCAACGTGAACAAAAAAAAAATAAAAAATGATCATGTATTCGCAACCCCCCCTGCAGGTTTATATTACAGAGATGATATTCGGGTCAATTTGACCCGGCAGTGAAAGTGGAGGCTATAAGGGGTCAGAAGGGTCACGTTTAGACCATTTCTTTCTTTGAAAATGTGAGACAACATATTTCTACCTCCCACCATGTTTCACCCCATTTCTCTCTCACACACACACAGACACACACACACACACGCACACACACATACACACACACACACACACACACACACACACACACACACACACACACAC